ATAGTGTATGTGCGTGAGGAGGTGATAGGAAGGGGAAAGTATACAAGGAAGCAGCAAAAATGAGTAACAGCAGTGAAGGGGATCACAAGAGAAAAAGGTGGCATATCAGGTCACTAATACTTCCAAAGTTAGCTTCCTACAAACCTCCAAAAGGTTAAGGTTGTATTCTAAGTTCCCTCTAAGGTGTGCACTTGCGCGGGCACACAGAGAGAATTTTAGTCCCGCCCACCTTCTTAGCAGGGCTGCACAGCAGCGTGCCTACAGCCCTGCACTCACCGTTCTTCTGGTGGAAGCTTAGCTGCTGGTAGTGGTTGGCTTGGTGGGGGAATGCAGGCTAAGCCAGGCAGCTCTCTGCTGTCCCCAACTCCCCAAGCCTGGAGCTGGGACCAGGGCCACGTGGTGGCTGCCTGGCTGCTCCCAGGGTGGGCAGCATGCTCTGTGGCTACCCCGTGTGCTGGAACTGGAGCTGGAGCTGGAGCTGAGGCTGCAGCTTGGCTGATCCTAGGGCCCCTGCATCCCTGTTCCCCCAAACATAGCCCTCTTCCCCTCTCTGTGCCCTCTGGCTCTCTTCAGCCCCCTGCCAGCTCCCCCCCTCGCACAACTTCCCACATGTTGCTGCCCCACGCCCAGCGCTCCAGATTCCCCTTGTCAGCAAGTTTGTTGACCCCCTCAAAGAATTCTAGTAGATTGGTAAGGCATGATTTCCCTTTACAAAAACTATGTTGACTCTTCCCCAACAAATTATGTTCATCTGTGTGTCTGACACTTCTGTTCTTTATTATAGTTTCAACCAGTTTGTTCAGTCCTGAAGTTAGACTTACTGGTCTGTAGTTGCCAAGATCACCCCCAGAGCTCTTTTTAAAAATTGGTGTCACATTTGCTAGTCTCCAGTTATTTGGTACAAAAGCTGATTTAAAGGATAGGTTACAAATCGTGTGGTTAGTAGTTCTGCAATTTCACATTTGAGTTCTTTTAGTACTCTTGGGTGAATGCCATCTGGTCCTGGTGGCTTGTTACTGTTTAGTTTATCAATTTGTTCCAAAATCTCCTCTAACAGCATCTCAGTCTAGGAACATCCCTCAGATTTTGTCACCTAAAAAGAATGGCTCATGTTTGGGAATCTCCCTCACATCCTCAGCTGTGAAGACTAGAGCAAAGAATTCATTTAGTTTCTCTGCAGTGCCCTTATTGTCTTTGAGTTCTCCTTTAGCATCTTATCCAGTAGCTCCACTGGTTGCTTAGCAGGCTTTCTGCTTCTGATGTACTTAAAAAATACCATTATGTTTTAAGCTTTTGGTTAATTTTTCTTCAAATTCTTTTTTGGCCTTCCTAATTATATTTTTACACTTCATTTATCCTTTCTATTTTCTTCCCTAGGATTTAACTTTCATTTTTTAAATGATGCTTTTTTGCCTCTCATTACTTCTTTTGCTTTGGAGTTTAGCTATGGTGGCAGTTTTTGGTCCTCTTACTATGGTTTTTAATTTGGGGTATACATTAACGTTGCGCCTCTCTTATAATGTCTTTAAAATGTTTCTATGCAGCATACAGCTTTCACTTTTGGCATCATGCCTTTTAATTTCTGTTTAACTAGCTTCCTCATTTTTGTATAGTCTCCCTTTCTGAAATTAAATACTACAGTGTTGGGCTGCTGTCATGCTTTCCCCACCACAGAGATATTCAACCTAAATTATATTATGGTCATTATTATCAAACAGCCCAGCTATATTCACCTCTTGAAATTTACATCTAGAATGATGTAAATGAATTAGGGATGTAAATGAATAATCAGGTTGAAAACAGAATGTTTGTGCTAAACAAAATGAGTAAATAAGTCAGTAGCCTAAGAAGACACACTCTCTGAGCCGTTTTTCCAAAAAAAATGTCAATTTTGTCCACACTGCAATCAGGTTCTTTTGAAAGAAAATCGAAAGAACAGAGGGGTTTTTCCAGCATTGGTAATCCTCTTTCTACGAGGAAGAAGCCTTTTTTCCAAAAGAGCTACAGTGAAAACTGTGTAATATAGTTAGGTCAGCCTAACACCCCACCGGTAGACATAGCTAAGTGAATGGATGAATTCTTCCCTCATGCTAGCTATCATCTCTTGAGAAGGTGGATTTACTCCAAATCACCAGATAAATAAAGAGATTTACCCACTAGCACCAGATAAAGAAACAGCTCTCAAGATGGTTAAAAAAAACTTAGACTGACAGCACTTCATCTGGCATGAAATTCCTTCTGTATGATCTCTGTCTGGTTTTTCATTGTTTCTGTCTGCTTTAGAATTAATTTTGCTGTGTGTAAATCAGTGAAGGTGGTGGTTACAGCATGTTACAATAGGTTAGTAAAATTTTAGTAAAATAATTGGTAATGGTATAGCTAAGCAGGACTCTCACTGTATCAACTGGGGCCCAAGAAGAAGACCAGCAAAAGGAAGAAAGGAAAGGAAGGAACAGAAAGAAGAAGGAAAGATCCGGAAGAAGAACTCACCTCCAACACAGCCTAAGTCCAGAACTGACAAGAATCCTCTGCACGACTGTGACGGGCGGGGGCTGCACTGGCCTAACAAGGGTAACCCAGCCCTGGGAGAGGGTTGAGGCTGTGGAGCCAACAGCTGCGGCATATAGCAGCCAATTGGAGTCCAGAGCAGTGCCGTGAGGGCCAGAAGGGACATGGGGCCTAGACCAGTGTAGGAGACAGGTAACTGAGGGAGAGACACCAGACAGCAGAAGGCAATCTGAGGATGGAGAGCTGATTTCCTGCATGACCAGCAGGAGGTGCCATGGCAATGAGTGCACAAACCTGTTACAACCACCATGATGTGCAGCAACCAGAATCCAGAGGAGACTGTGTTTGCCTTGCCAACAAGGGACGGTCACCTGCCTTACACAGGCTTGGTGAGCATGGCTCTATTTGGTTGGCAATTGCTAATAAAGGGTATGTCTACACTACAAAGTTAGTTCGAACTAATGGACGTTAGTTCGAACTAACTTTGATAGGCGCTACACTAGCGCTCCGTAAGTTCGAATTTAATTCGAACTAGCGGAGCGCTTAGTTCGAACTAGGAAAACCTCATTTTACGAGGATTAAGCTTAGTTCAAACTAGCTAGTTCGAATTAAGGGGTGTGTAGACCCTTAATTCGAACTAGTGGGAGGCTAGCCCTCCCCAGGTTTCCCTGGTGGCCACACCATCTCCTCGTGGAACGAGGTGTACCAGTAGTTTGAATTAGAGAGCCTAATTCGAACTACCTACTCCGTGCTGCGTGTAGCCGCGGGCACGGCGTCCGCACTAGCGGACATTTAAAAATGGCGGTGCCCAGCAACATGCAAATGAAGCCCGGGAAATTCAAATCCCGGGCTTCA